CCAGAGACACTCACTCGCGAGTGATGAACGCCAGGGAATGAGTCGATTGAGGCGTTTGTTCAATAGTGGCGTCCAATTGAAGTTCATTGTCGTCACCAATGATGGCCTAATGCACCACAAGTTCGCTGTCATCGATGATTGTCTGCTAATCAATGGTTCACTCAATTGGACCGAAAATGCAATCTTCCACTCGTATAACGATTGTGTCATTACAGCTGATCCCAAACTTGTGTATAGTTTTAGTCGACAATTCAATCACTTCTGGTCTCTCGACTCGTGATGAATATCATGTGAAAGTAGTTTCAAATCAATTGCAATAACAACTCGTTTTAAACTCATTTTATTGGCATTTTTGTGCGAAAAGCCTATCGTTTTGTAAAAACATTTGAATACTGATTACAAATAAAAAAAACTTGATTCATGTAAATATAACTCTTGAGATTTCATTAAAAATTTTGACTCTTAATGCACGGATTGAATACTTAAGAGTGAATTAATTTTAATATCAATTCATAGCTTTAATATTTAGAGACGACGTGTTTTTGAAGTCATTTTCTCTTCAACTCTGCCCTCAAATTTTCAGCCAATTTGTCAAGAAATTCAAATGTATTCAAATAGTCGCCTCTTTCCACGCCATTCATGCCCTTAATACAGATGGCCAGGTCTTTGGTCATGAAACCGGCCTCAATGGTGTCGACGCACACCTTCTCCAGAGTCTGTGCGAAGTGAGCCAACGGTGGGTTGGCGTCGAGTTTGGCCCTATGGAGCAGACCTCGAGTCCACGCGAAGATGGATGCGATCGGATTAGTGGACGTCTCCTTATTCTGCTGATGGAACCGGTAGTGACGAGTGACCGTCCCGTGCGCCGCCTCCGCCTCAATGGTCTTGCCGTCCGGACAGACCAACACCGATGTCATCATTCCGAGTGAGCCGTAGCCCTGAGCGATGGAGTCTGACTGGACGTCACCGTCATAGTTCTTGCACGCCCACATGAACCCCCCCTCAGACTTCAACGCCTGGGCCACCATGTCGTCGATGAGCCGGTGCTCGTACCAAATGCCCGCCGCCTCATACCGGGCCTTATATTGCTTCTCATATATCTCTTGGAAGATATCTTTGAACCTTCCGTCATATTTCTTCAAAATGGTATTCTTAGTACTCATATACAGCGGGTATTTGCGGTCCAAAGCGTACTGAAGGGACGCCTCCGCGAACGACGTAATACTGGAGTCGGTGTTGTACATCGATAGGGATACTCCTCCCCCATCCTTGAAGTCATAGACGGTGTAATTGATAGGCTCTCCACCGGCCGCTGGGGTCCATTTTATCTCCAGCTTTCCATTCCCTGGATATATAAAATAATATTAAATATTAATAATTATAAAAACCATATGTCAATATGACATTTACAAATTTACCCGGCACAACAAAATCGGTAGCTTTGTACTGATCGCCAAAAGCATGTCTACCGATAATAATGGGTTTCTTCCAGCCGGGAACCACTTGTGGAATGTTTTTACACATAATTGGTTCCCTGAAGACAGTGCCGCCCAATATGTTACGAATGGTTCCGTTCGGGGATTTCCACATCTGTAACAAACACTTGCATTAAATCCATTGTCTATATACACAGTATGTCAGACATGAGAGATACCTGTTTGAGATTGAATTCCTCGACCCTCTTCTCATCGGGAGTAATGGTCGCACACTTGACGCCGACGTTGTATTTGAGAATAGCTTTGGCGCACTCGATGGTCACCTCATCATTGGTGGCGTCCCTGTTCTCAATCCCCAAATCANAGAAATTCAAATGTATTCAAATAGTCGCCTCTTTCCACGCCATTCATGCCCTTAATACAGATGGCCAGGTCTTTGGTCATGAAACCGGCCTCAATGGTGTCGACGCACACCTTCTCCAGAGTCTGTGCGAAGTGAGCCAACGGTGGGTTGGCGTCGAGTTTAGCCCTATGGAGCAGACCTCGAGTCCACGCGAAGATGGATGCGATCGGATTAGTGGACGTCTCCTTATTCTGCTGATGGAACCGGTAGTGACGAGTGACCGTCCCGTGGGCCGCCTCCGCCTCAATGGTCTTGCCGTCCGGACAGACCAACACCGATGTCATCATTCCGAGTGAGCCGTAGCCCTGAGCGATGGAGTCTGACTGGACGTCGCCGTCATAGTTCTTGCACGCCCACATGAAGCCCCCCTCAGATTTCAAGGCCTGGGCCACCATGTCGTCGATGAGCCGGTGCTCGTACCAAATGCCCGCCGCCTCATACCGGGCCTTATATTGCTTCTCATATATCTCTTGGAAGATATCTTTGAACCTTCCGTCATATTTCTTCAAAATGGTATTCTTAGTACTCATATACAGCGGGTATTTGCGGTCCAAAGCGTACTGAAGGGACGCCTCCGCGAACGACGTAATGCTGGAGTCGGTGTTGTACATCGATAGGGATACTCCTCCCCCATCCTTGAAGTCATAGACGGTGTAATTGATAGGCTCTCCACCGGCCGCTGGGGTCCACTTTATCTCCAGCTTTCCATTCCCTGGATATATAAAATAATATTAAATATTAATAATTATAAAAACCATATGTCAATATGAAATTTACAAATTTACCCGGCACAACAAAATCGGTAGCTTTGTACTGATCGCCAAAAGCATGTCTACCGATAATAATGGGTTTCTTCCAGCCGGGAACCACTTGTGGAATATTTTTACACATAATTGGTTCCCTGAAGACAGTGCCGCCCAATATGTTACGAATGGTTCCGTTCGGGGATTTCCACATCTGTAACAAACACTTGCATTAAATCCATTGTCTATATATACAGTATGTCAGACATGAGATACCTGTTTGAGATTGAATTCCTCGACCCTCTTCTCATCGGGAGTAATGGTCGCACACTTGACGCCGACGTTGTATTTGAGAATAGCTTTGGCGCACTCGATGGTCACCTCATCATTGGTGGCGTCCCTGTTCTCAATCCCCAAATCAAAGAAGTGGAGCTCAGCGTTGATGAACGGGAAGATGAGTTTCTCTTTGAATAGATGAGACCATTCATTGATTCACTGACTCGTGAGGAATGTCTGGTATTTCTTACCTTTAATTAGGTCCCATATTATCCTAGTCATAAGAACAGAATTTATTAGTGATTAAAATAACTAACAATTTGTAATATAAAATGGGGCATTCATATATTCGTACAGTACCTGGTCATCTCATCGCCCTGCATCTCCACTATAGGCCCACATTTAATCTTTTCTGCCATTCTTTGCTTATATTAATGATAGCGATTCTATTAACACAAATATAATGATCACTTTCTTAAGACAAAAACACTTTTGACGCAAATTATATTCAATTTGACTTTATATACGAGAAGTAGAGGTACTTCTTATTAGTCGACAATAATATTTATTGCAATACAAGAAAATCTTGTTTCACAAAACTCTACTATAATGATAATGAGATTTAAATAAACTTTAAGCCCTGATGCAATTGAAAGTAAAGGTAATATATAATTATCTTGATTGGAGTCTTAAGTCTGATTTATCTGTCGTTTAAACTCTTGTAAATGATTGAGAGCAATCAAAGTACAATTTACTAATATTTTCACAATTAAATACTGTAGGAAATTAAGCACTACAGTATACAATATTTAGTTTTATAATTAAATTCATGGAAAATTCATCAAAGAGTGGAAACAGAGACAAAAACATATTTTGAAATATATTTTGAATTAAATAGAAATTCTATTTTTACAAACAGATTAAAATCAAAAACATTTAAATATCAAAATGAAATGACAAACAGAAATACAGACGGAAACACACATATCTTTACAAAAATTTAATGTCATATTATGTTTGACAAGACTTACATCAATACAAGTGTTTAAATAACAAAAAAAATTGATATATATTTTAGACTTTAATATGAATTCAAACTCTAAAGTATTTGTCTCACAACCGATTCCACGACTCGTGTTCAGATTTTGCAGACAATTGCAAAATAGGTCGGACTCACAAACACCTCAAGGTATTGACGCTAAAACAGAAACCGTCTGAACAGGAATTACCTATAAAGTTGGAGCTATAACTGGAGAAAATAGTATTTTTGTTGGTTTAATGAGTTTTCAAAAACGAGAAGAAATATACGATATAATAGTATAAAGGAAGAGATGTGAGGATTGTATTGAAAAGAGACTCACAATTGGGAACATGTTTTCTGTTTGAAGGTTATCTGTAATAGTCATTCAAACTCTATAACTATTTGGTGAAAACAAATCAAAACCAATATTTTGAGGAAATTTTTCAATTAAAATGAAATCGATTATTTAAATTTGAAATTTAAAACAAATTGTCGTAAAGAATAATATTGTATTGAAATCAAATGGTAACTCATTATAACTTAATTAAGAAATCATTTGCTTTATTGAATCCTTGAAATAAATTATTTTCTATAATAGACTGGAACTTTAGTTAATGCTATAATTTTGTCATTACTTTTATTTACGTTAATTAAATTAACATTTGTATAATTTTATAAAATTATAATTCACAATAATATAAGTATTATCCTAGATATTTCATATAGGTACTGTAAATAGTAATACCGGTAAAATATAGATAGCTAAATATATTCTAATAAAGCACGAGTTATTAATACACGAGATAATTAAGTTAGTACTCAATTGTGCACTCAATTTGGACTTTATATATTTACTACGATATAAATATTATTACACTTTTAGTGTAAATAATTTGTAATACAATTATCAGTCAATTAATATAAATAATTCATTCAAAGTCTCAATTTTCCAATCGTATACACTGTCCACTTGTATACAGGAAAGACATCTTATTTAATATAATATGTTTTACAACTATTTCTGAACAATTGTCTCAAAAACTAAACAATTTGTAACATTTAAATCACATTAATATAAAACATATCATATGAATGACACAATTAAAAGCCAATTGAATCAACAATTGATACAATCAGTCATATTCCTCGACAGTTATCACTCCATTTTAAGATACAATCAATCGCCACAATGACCTTGCACAGTCATATATTAACAATTACACATTAATCATTCAATTTAGCCGGGTACTATTTTATATAAGTTTATTTTGGTTGAATATATTAATATCGGAAAATTGATTGTCATTTCATGTAAAGTTATATTTATTTAAATTAAATAATATTAACTTAAAATACTTACAATTAAATTATATATTGAATTGAGAGTATAGTTGAGTTGATTGTAAGCTAATTGGGTTACAATGACTGCAATTAATTGAATGCAATTACAATTAAGTTACGGTTAACTGTAACACACTTTACGGCTATTTAAAGTGATTACAAAACTGTGCAAATGTTTGGCATTTAAATGATTCATAAATAACGTGTTGTTTACAGTGTGTGAGAGTGACAGACAGTGTTGTGACCATCGTTTCCATCAACTCTTCGCACATCTCAGCCATGGATTCAATCCCGAAGTTTACGTCAAAGACACGGACGAGTACTTTGGATAAGTCTCTCCCCAAAGCTAAGTCTGAAGTAATTGTTTTCAATGGTTTGTCAAACATTTTGATATTAATATGACATTTGATTGATGTCTCAAATAAGATCAACATAAGTATCTACGCTCTACTCATGAGTGAAATGGTGCAGTACTGCCAGAATAGGGTCTATACTGTTCCCGAACTGCAGACCAGGTTTGCCATGATATCTACCATTATGTTGACAGTGATTGTGATCGTGATCTACCATTGTGTTGATGACCAGATTGTCGGAAATGGGTTATAGAGTCGGACAACGAGTCATGGATTCGATGGCTATTCGCGAGAAGAACTTCAAGAGAGAGACGCGAATCATCAATATGTTGGTCTTGTTGAGGACCAAAGTGTGGACCAATCTGTTTGGCAAAGAGGCCGACAAACTGGAGCAGGCTAACGATGACGAGACCACATGTATGGCCATCACTACCACTGCATGCCATGCATACCATTCACTGACACTCACTCACGAGTTTTATTATATGTTTAGATTATATCATCGAAAGCGAGCCATTGGTCAACAAATTCATATCAGTGCCCAAAGACAAGGGATCTCTCAATTGTGCCGCTTTTGTGGCCGGAATTATAGAAGCGGTTCTCAATGAAAGCAATTTTGTATGTCTTATGCCTTATGTCCTCCCCTTTGAACTCGTTTTCTAATTAATTTATATTTAAATTGTTGACAAAGAGTGCAAAAGTGACGGTCCATTGGCATAAAGGGACCACTTTTATGATCAAATTTGACGATTCAGTGGTCGCCAGAGATAAAGCCCTCGACAATAAATAATACACTTTTGTTTGGGTTTTATTATTAATTCAATAAATAACTCCATTTTGTATATTAATTGAAACATTAATTGTTTTACTATTATTACATTTACTTTATAATAAAAAATTAAATCTGAATCAACACCACGTGTTAAACATCTCTGAGTCGGTCTCTCATGGCTTGAGTTTCAACAGCATTGGGAACTACAGGGTAATACCCTTGCTGCGAGACCCCGCAGTTGTTTGTCTTACTCCTGGCGATCCTGATATACCCGTCCTCTCCCCACTTCGGGCCCCAACTGTTGACTCAAAACAAATTATTTAGTGTTTATTTGGCATATTCTTAGAGGAGAGACCTATTTCTGACAATGAAGTAGTCGGAATGGTATCCGACGGCTACCACCGCGTGATTCACTTTCTTTGCGCTACACTTGGAGTCATCGAAAATGCCGGATCTAATAGACACAAGAATACCATTGCAAGCAAACCAATGACACGATTTATGACTCACTTATAAGCGGCCATATCTTTGGTGACGTGCACTGCGATGGCAACGGGTCCGTAGTTGTAGATCGCGGTGACCAGGTCTGCGTCCTGTCCTGTCTTCAGTCGTTTGCCTTCTTTCACTTCGACGTCCACTCTTTTGGCCACATTGTAGACACACTTGTCTTTCTGTTTGTCATATCAATACAATTCATATGACTTTTACTTGAATCATATTTTCGAGAGACATACCTTCCCGGTGTAGGGGTAGGAATCTACTCCCATAATGCCTTTGTTTGCGGCCACATATTTGAATGCTTGCTGAGGCATCCCTACAATGATTGCAATTATATTACTCTTTCATGTCTACCGACAATACAATACAAACCTCCGTCACAACCAATTGTACCGAAATCTGCGGAACAGTCAATAAAATTCTGTTCACTGACTGTGAGTTGACTCTTGGGGTCAAACTTTCCCTCCGCTATCAATCTCTTCATGTTATGACCTAAAAGAGTATAATTCATATAAAATCTGAATATTATTCAAGAAATTATAGGACAGACTCTCGAGAACACAGGCGGCCGCGAAACTCCAACACGAACCACACTTTCCCTGGTGTTTGCAGATAGGGTTGCATCAGATTTATGTATAAAATATATAATAAATATGAAAATCACTTGATTTCTTGGAGGGGTCACAACCCCAAACTTCCTCCAATCCCACTCCGTTGGCATGTCGTCTACTGGTGGCACAGGAGCTGAAGCTGTATTCAAAGTTATAAAACTAGTTATAATAAGAGCACTGTCACTGTATGAATAAAAGTGTGCTGGATACCCTTGACCATAACGTCTCCCCCGTCCTGTTTGAAACCTAACTTTTGCTTTAAAATCTCTGCAAAACTCTTGAGAGAAAACACA